TAACTAATCAAATTGTAATGCAATTTTCAAGAATGACAATTTGTTTGCATTTATTTTTATGCATGTTTTTTTAATCTTTAAAATGTTTGTATTCAGTCTTATACTGAATAAGTTTTACTCTTCAGATGTTTCTCCTTATAGCCTCCTCATTAGGTGCTTACTATAAGACTAATAGGTAAATGTATGTACTTAGGTAAATACTTAGTAAGGAATGGAAATCTAGGAGTTTAAGGGGTTATGACATTTATATAAAAATTATTCTGTTAGGAAAAAAGGTCAGCGGTTTGTCCATTTTTTTTAAGTGCAAATTTTTAATACATTTTGGTTAATGTTTATTTTACACAAGCATTTATGTCCATGCTGATAAATGATAGCAATCTTTCCAGAATTGGTCATAGAAAATATGAGCAAAATGTTCTGTGCTCTCTAGAGAGCACAGAACTCTTTAGAGAGAACTATATATATATATATATATATATATATTTAGTCCCATAGTTAAGTACCTGTCTTGGTTGGTCTACGGCTTTCTGTGGGTCTGTTTTGACTTTGTTGCTTGGATGGTTGGTGACTTTTGTGACGGGCTGTTTGAAGATAGAGGCTGTCTGTCGCACTGGGAGAGATGTGTTCAGGTCTGGTTTTCCCTACAGCACACACAACATGGGATAAAACTCATGACACAACTATGAAATTTTATATTCAAACATCACAGAGATGCTTTGGATGGACACACTGGCCTTAAAAAGGTGTCCATATGAAATGGTTAGAGAGTATTGTGCATAAACAATAGGATAACCTAATATTAAAGGAGACAAATTAAAGGATAAAACGGTTGTGCTATTAGGGGCATTTTGCTAGCAAGATTTGGATCCACTTGTCCCCTTAAAGGAAAGAGTCACTGAAAATCAGTACAAAGTTATTCTGTCTGACCATTATTATTATATGATGATACACTTTTATCCTGAAGGGTGTGGTCTCTGCGAAGATGACTCCGTCCATATCCACAAGCTTGCTGAGAAGGTTGATGAAGATGAAAATAATGTAAATCTTATGCTATGGCCTTAGCAGTCACCGGATCTTAACCCATTTAAAGACTTGAGGGAGATTCTGGAATGATGTTAGTGTCATAACCATTATCAAAACACCAATTGAGACGAGCCAGTTCCCCTCCAATCATTTTCTTAGCAGTTGGGAAGAAACTGGATAGCAAAAAAGCAAACCCATAACATTGTGATGCCTCTCTATAATCACCTGTAATGAACTTTTAATTTCTTGTAATGTAATTTCTGTTTATAATCACAATTATTATTAGGGGACCAAGCACTGAAGACATTATTCTACCTTTAATTCTTCTTATTATTCTGCTTCTGCTTCTTCTTCTGCTTCTGACTAGGGTGTCTATGGTAGCCCGTAGAATGGTCTGGTAAAATGTTGTGAAATTTGAGTAAAAGACTAATTGGGGAGGGTCTAAGGAACATGCTGACTAAATTTGGGCCAAGTGCTAGGAACGCTCTAGTGCCACAATCAGGTCAAATTTCTACCTAATATCGAAGCATGTTTATGGTCACAACTTTCCAAAATTGAAAAGCCTCAAAAGCCTTCCAAGTTAAACGCACTCTAGGACATCAATTTCTGCCTAATTAGATTTTCGGCCATCTTAGATTAAAAAAAAAAAAAAACCTGTATTTTCACTACTCCTCCTACAAATTTTGCCCAATCATCGCCAAATCTGGCACACATCATCTCAAAATAAGCCTCAGAAAAGTTCTCAAAAATTTTTTCCATACTCTAAATGGTTTGCCCGTAATGGGCCAATGAATCTTACCGCAAAGCCACCAAATAGGAAGTGAGGCTGTATCTCAACAAAGCACGTGACCTGACTCAACAAATTTCATGACAGTATAAATCCATATTTTGTCCAGCCTTCACCAAATTTTCTCACATCATCCTCAGACCTGTTTAAACTAGTTCTGGGCCGAAACCAAAAATTCAGGATGCACTTGACCGAGAACTGAAACCGAAAATAAATTTTTTTTAAACCCATTTTAAAATAGTTTTTTTTGTATAATTGTATTAATATTAGACTTTTTAATTTCATGAATTTACCAAATTGTCATATCACAGCAAAGCAGTGACTACATTTCCCGTCCTGCACTGCATCCAATTCACAGTATAATCACAACCGCAGTTTAAAAGGACTTTAAATGCATTCACTCTTTGCGAAGTATTATGTGAGTTTCCATTTACCAAGCCGGTGTTCATCGTGTTTTGTGTCCTAGTTTTGATCTTATTCTTGCCCTCGTTCTCGATTCCTGATTTGCCTATTGCCTGTTTGTTGACCACGCTATTGTCTCATGTTTTGGAATTGTCTGCCTGTCTCTCTTTAATAAAGCTCTTATCTGCACTTGCATCCGTCCTAACCTCCATTACGTGACACTGAATCTGAATTGAAAAACTACAAACCAATCAAATGATCACAATTTTATAGAAATTAACTCACCAAAACAAAAATGATATGAAATATTATTCTTCATTCCATTTTGTAACAATTAAATTTAACAGATTTTTAAAAAACCAATTAACCAAATAATGTAAAGTTCTAGAAAACTATTATGATATGCAAAACAGCAGTCAAGTAATGAACTAGGCCTCTTTTCTGTTTATGTAAACATATTTCCACATTCATTAAAGATTATTGTGAAAATCAACAGTGCAAAACAGCAGCAACAGAACTAAAACCAACCTCAAACAGTAAACAACAGATTTTAATGTAACTGCTATACATATAGCAAATTGGACTGCTTTCTATTTAAGCAAAAGTGTCAGGTTTCTCTTCAAGAACAAAAGTCTCTCAGTTTTCTGGCAGGACATGAGGCGATGAACTGAGTAGTCTCTCACTCTCTGTGCTGGAGTTTGGGGTAGATAAATACCTGTGTGCAATCTACGCAAGCAGTGGAAATCATAGCTGTGCTTGTTGTGGCACTGCTGTGGATCGAGGTGCTTTCCTTAAGAATCTTGTCCAACATTAGAAAGTGGGTGAGTTTGTGCCACATCACTTGTACGCACCCGTTTCTCTGGTAGACTTTGCTCTGTGCTAGACCTCAATCCTTCAGCAGATGTATTCATCACCTCCAGCTCTGCCTGTATCATTTCCCGTGCATGCTGCTTTTTCTCCGCGTCAAAGTAATGTTCTTTAAATCGCGGATCTAGTAATGTTGCGATGCAACGATAACCATCGGTTAGATCAAGTGTGAAATCTGAGCGCCGAGCACTGAGGGGCAGGGCGTGGCAGTATATATTTTCTGTCTTTTTACTCTTTCGGCCAAAAACCAAATTTCAATTATCAAAGGAACTCTGATATTCAAAACCGTTTTCCCAAAATGGACTGGAAAATGCATGAAACTACTAATCATCCCTTTGCCTTGAATCCCTTTGCCTATAGTTATGGCTTTGCTTTCCTATGATTGCTTATGCAACAATTGTAGCGCATCTGTGAATGTGCAGCTCACTGAGTCTGGGTGCTTGGCCCTCGACAATGCTGCTTGCAGCTTTTATTATTATTATTAACAGATGAGAAAAACAGAGGTCATACGTAACCATGGCACTTGTAAGTGTTAAGCAGCAGTTTATATATTCAGGGATTAATCTGCCCTCACCTTTGTCTGACTGTTGGTGTCGTAGCGGAGCCGCTGTCTGTTCTTGTTCAGTTTACTCATGAGCATCTTCCCTGTGCGGAAATCAAACGAGCTGAGGTCCATGGAGTTGCCAAGGTAACGCACCAGCTGAGGCTTGCTGCGAAACTTCTTACCAGCGGGACTGACAGGAAAAATAGGACAGATCTTATGCAAACCATTTCAATCAACAGATGCACAATACAAAAAAAGAGAAACATTGTGGTTGAGGTTTTGGCACAAAGACAGATAACAGATGAAAATGCATGGGGTTATTTTTCAGACAACTAACAAATGGAAAAGCAAATCGTGACATGCAGTGATCACGGCCTAATTAGTTAAGAGAAATTCGGAGAGCAGTTTCACACCAGACCCAAAGTTACACACATACAATGACTAATGTTATGAATGATCTCCACAATGCACTGATTCTGTTTTTAAGGATTTATGCTAATATCAATTACTGTGCTCATACAACTTGACTAGGATTTTTCCTATCCAGTGGGATTGTAGAGAAATGTTTTCAACTTCCACTGAAAAAAATGTCAGCTTTAGATATTTAAATGCAACCTCTTCCTATCACAATGCTTACGTTATGTAATCGTATTTCTGACTGTGCGGCTAAAGTGTATATCCAAGTCAACCCTACGTTGTTATGTAAGGTTTAATAATATAGAAGCAAAATTATACTTGTTTCAACCCAGTACTGATACCAGGGAAAGTTATCCATGCATATTATGACATGTATGTGACATGGCCTAAATGACTTCTCCTTGCTGCAGACTCTCTTCTAAGCAAGATGAATATACTGAGTGATCCATACAGGTCTTACTTCCAGTTTTTTACATGAAGTGTGCATCCAGGTAAGCAAGCTAAGGCTTTAGATCTGTCTTTCCACACAAGCTGTCTACCATGCAAATATGAGTGCTCACATTGTCTTGGGGTTTTTTTTTTTTCCACATGCAGCTGTCAGAAGGCATGACTCTGTCTACACTCACCACGTTTCACACAAAGCCAAGCTCTGTTAGTGTAAAGTATGTGTGGAAGGAGCATGTTTTTATATTTTGATGGGGACTAAATATCCCCATAAGATCAAAACTGTCAGATATTCCTATCCACAGGCTTTTTTTTCCTGAACCTAAATGAACCTGTAGCTCTCATTTTAAAAAACTTTTTTTTCTCTCTTTCAGCTGCTCCCATTGACGGTCGTCACAGCAGATTACCTGTCCGCATATTTTGATTCTGTCCTTCCAGACACAGCCCTCCCCATTTTACTGGCTTGGGACCGGCACAGAGAGTCTATTGGCTCGTGCAGCCCTACAGTAGAGTCGGTTCCCTGACCAGGAATCGATCCTGGGCCGAAGCAGTGAGTGCGCTGTATAAGAACCACTAGTCCACCAGGGAACCTAGCTCTCATTTAAAAACTAACAGAGATAAAATGTTTGCTTTTGGTTACTGAGGATAAGGATTGAATTTAGGAGTAGATGTAGCATTAATCCGCATAATTAATACTGATATCTTCACAGATAAATGTGTGTGTGTGTGTGTGTGTGTGTGTGTGTGTGTGTGTGTGTGTGTGTGTGTGTGTGTGTGTGTGTGTCTGTGCCCCTTCACTTCCTTTTTGGTCAGATGCAAACACAGTATGAAGTTACATAAATATTGAGTATGACTGGTCACATGAAGATGTCATGCCTGGTGTTCTCAAGCTTGCAAGATGTGCAAAATGAAATGGGGATATAATAATAATAATAATAATAATAATAATAATAATATAAAATAATAATAATAATAATAATAATAAATAGCCTACCACAAACTAAACAACCGACCCGCCTCTCTCCTGTGCTCTTCCTCCTTTTCCTCACCTCTGCTAAAAAAAAAAAAAAGAAACAAATCGGGTCTATGTCGGGTCATGGCCATGTTCTGCCTTTTTTTACTGGGTCCAGAAGAGATGAAACTGTGTTTATGTTCTGTTTTAAGCCATTGAACTGAAACAGGACTGACTCTTGAGTCATAAGATGAAAGACACTCTGTTCACTTTCTTCCTCAACGTTTATTTCCCTTTTACAGTCTCCAGGACTGGTGTGGCGTGATGTTATCATTTCAGTAGGAACCATATTTGAGGCACATGAGGACACATTTCATCCAAGTTTTATCATTTACACTTCTCACCAAAAACGTTTATTAGTCCGAGTCCAGATTTATACGAGTCATACGTTGGCGACTCTTTATAGCCAGGCTCGGGGACAGAGCAGAGAAACACCTGGACATCGTGAAGAGCACGAGCATGCTGATGAACTGTGAAAAGCCGGATCGTGGGTTGGTTCCAACGTACATATTCACAGAAACCACCCACTCACATTCACTTTTGACATTTGATATCATTTCTGACTCATTCCTGAGTAAAGTTTATTTAAAAAAAAAATAAAAAAAAAAACGACACGGGTTTAACAATAATAAATATCAAGCGAATTCATTCCCGACTGCGCGACGCCGCCGACTCGCAACTGAAAGGTGGCGACAAAGCCTGACAAACCCTGCGACTGTTTTCGGCTCGGACATATCGAATCTACAATTCAATGAAAACGGCAGAAAAATGGCGTGTCCTCGCGTTTAAACGTGTTAGGACGCGTGGAAATATGATGACCCTGTTACGGACATGTCATAAAGCTGTAATGATATGCGGCTAGTTTTAGTTTAGCTAGCAAAAACACACACACAGAGAGAGAGAGAGAGAGAGAGAGAGAGAGAGAGAGAGAGAGAGAGAGAGAGAGAGAGAGAGAGAGAGAGAACCGCTTCCCGACTATAAAAAGGCTCGGTCCATTAATCCTAACATAAGGCCAACCTATAATCAGACAAGTTCATTTTTTATACATTTTGACTGGTATTTCGACCCCACCGTCGCCCGTTCCGCACTCCACACACACACACACACACACACACACACACGTACACGTACACTCGCATGCGAAAGGGAAAGCTAGGCTAGCTTTGTTACCGAGTTGAACAGAGAGCCTGCATTATCTTGCATTCTGTGCACAGGAAAGCTGATCTGCTCGGTTACTCAAACGAACAACAACAACAGTGCATTTAAAAAGCAAACGCCACCGACCTGCTTTATCATCACACAAACAGCCAGCACGGCGATGTCACTGCAAGGAGGAAAACGTGGACGTGTTTAAATGTAACATTTGCATTTGCTACTTACTCGTTTTTCTCCATTTGCATGCTATTTGGGTGTCTCCTGGTTGATCGTTAAATCCCCTCTTCTGCTCTGCACTTGCGCTCCCCTCCCCCTGCAATGAGACTAATGAAAGACATCATTCGCCCTGCAGGGACAATCACACTCTCCGGACCGGTACAAGCGCTGGAAACTCCCTCGACTACCCTTTACACCAACTCGTTTCTTTTAAATGTGTGGTTGTAGTGAAAACAGGAGTGGTTTAATTAACCTACGCTGTTTTAACAAAGCACACCATGCAGCAATCTCAGGGGTTACACTGGGGTTTAGGAGGTGAGGGATCCTTCCTTCATGGGCACCAGTTCTATTCAATTTTAATGTGTAGCGTTTTTAACAGTGTAAATGGTCCCCCCCCCCCAAAAAAAGCAATTTTACAGAAAGCTGGTTGTAGATTTAGATACCTAATGAGCAAGCCAGAGGTGACACTGTTAGGGAAAAAAAGTACTGAGATGACATGAGGAAGAACTTTTTAGATGAACCATAAGGGAGTCCAACTTCCTCTGAGTGACACCACATAGTGGGATTATAAATGAGTATGCTGCTACAACGGCCCTGTGTGTGTGCGAAGCTTGCATGCTCTCCCCGTGTTGCGGGGGTTTCCTCCGGGTATTCCGGTTTCCTCCCCCAGTCCAAAGACATGTGTGGTAGGCTGATTGGCGTGTCTGAAGTGTCCGTAGTGTATGAATGGGTGTGTGAGTGTGTGTGTGTGATTGTGCCCTGCGATGGATTGGCACCCTGTCCAGGGTGTACCTCACCTTGTGCCCGATACTTCCTGGGATACAATCCAGGTTACCCGTGACCCTGAAAAAAGGATAAGCGGTATAGAAGATGGATGGATGGATACACTGCTACAACTCCACACTGTAAAGTCAAACAGCGGTCTTTAGGGTATCCATGTAGAAACAACCATATCAGAACTGAGTGTGAAGTATAGAAGTTACAAGCAGAGGCTGAGAGAGAGAGAGAGAGAGAGAGAGAGAGAGAGAGAGAGAAAGAACAGATTATTAGCTATGCTCTTATGCTGTGGTGGTTTACAAGTGGTGTACATTGTGAGAGAACAAATTAGGAACATCACTGATCAACTTAATTTATGAAAACAAGGAGTTCTCCAAACTAAAAAAAATCATGAATGTTTACTGCTGTGTGTTGCTCAATTTGTTGTGTTGCTCAGAGTGCTTGTTTTCGCATAATAATAATAATAACAATGCGTTAATAGTCACTTAAATCATGTTACACTAACTTACAATAAAGTTATCTAATTGTCACAAGTGCCATGGGGAGTGGTAGCTTTCTAAACATCTCTATGTTTTTCCTATCCATTTTATAGGTTCAGACAGACTAGCAGAATACAACATAGTAAACATTGCACTCACAACTCTCAAAGCCCTTACCCAGGTCACAAAACACACACAGGCACACACAAGCAGTGTTATGGGGATGCATTGATCTTACTTCAGAAATTCATTAGCCATATTTGCACCCACCCTTAACGCACAGTTAGAGTTCAATTAGCATGCTATTACATGTTATGTAAAAATCTAAAAGAAAATTTTAAAAGAAATTAAATAATAGTCGTATTACATATGAAAATATATTTCATCACACCTTGAAATATATAACTGTGCATAGTTTTTAATGTGTCTGATTCAACTGAATGGACAAACCTAAAACCAAATTTATTTGAATACTTCAAATGTCATGTTGCAAGATTCAAGACTCCACCAGCCAGTGACAAAGCATCAAAGAGTGTAGCTGCACATCAACTGCATCAGTGCTTGACAATTTGCACAAATTGTGCACCACCATCTGGGAACTATTCGGTCGTCTCTGCTTAAGACAGGAGAAGCGAGAGCTGTCTGGGTGAACAAAAACCAGCAGCAGGATGAATCAGGTTTGTTAACAATGTGTCGATTTGATCACTTTTTAAAGAAGGCACTGATGCAAATTCTGTGTCAGATTCTGTGGCTAAATCCCTTAATATACATTGCTTATGGGATATTCAATGGCATTGTGCATCATTTGATGTTTCAAAACATAAAATCTGATAGGAAATGTACAATATGTAAAAGTATAATTCTCTGTTAAGGTGAGGTCTGAATAAATATACACTGCTTAAAAAACCTCTGTAAACTCATTATATCTATTGTATAACACAATTTATAGTTCTTCTTGCAATTGAAATGTTTGCAAGATACATCATCAAGAACCACTGGTGTCTGAAATAGATCAGAGCCACAACCCATGCAGCTCCCCAGCCCACTACAGCTGGAGTCCTTTAAAGGTCTTGGTAGAAATGCTCAAGACTTGCACAAAATTATAACCTCTGTTGCTAAAAATATTTTCCCCAGCCTGCATTTCAGCCTGCCTGATGTACTCGGATTGGGTGATATTTCAGTAGACACTATGCAATTGTCTGTGAGTATTAACTCTTATCCGGTCGAATCACTGAAGATGATTAAGCAACAACAGCTGTATTCACATTAAATTGAGGTTATAGCTAGCAAGGAATAAAACACAATGTGGTATGCTGTTATAGGAAAACAATCAAATTGTCATGCAATCAATGGCAATTACAATTTTTAATTCAGTAATGAACATTATGTCATACACTATTTGGCCAAAAGTATTTGTACAAAACCATCATATCCATGTGCGCTTTTTGAAGATCCCATTCCAAAGTTAGTCCCCCTTTCTTGCCGTAACACACTTTTGGGAAGGCATTCCGCTAGATTTTAGAATGTGGCTGTGGGAATTTCAGCCTATTCAGCCACAAGAGCATTAATGATGTCAGGCACTGATGTGGATGTCAGCGTTTCAGTTCATCCCAAAGGTGTTCAGTGGGTTTGAGGTCAGGGCTCTCTCAAAAAATTGGACCATGCTGTCTTGAAGACTTTTGCATGGCAGGAAACTTATTGACAAAGTGCTCACATTGAGCCTTCTATAAATATGAAATAAATGTCTCCTTACAGATAACTACACCATCAACAATTATAATTTGTTAAAATTAATAATTTTTTGTTGTTTGTTATGTAGCACATTTTAGAAATCAGTTTACTATTAGTCTTGGATTATGAGCTTCCTGTGAATAAGAGGTTACCATAGAAATAATAATGTATTAAACCAAGAGCATTAATAAATATCTGACTTGAATCTTGAATTACAG